TTTCCTTCCTCAATCATGATCAGGTGCCATACTGTTCTGCACGCCACCTTGCATGGTTGGGCTTCCTCATGCCAACCTAGGGCGCTTCGCCTGCACTTGCGTGTCCGACACTTGTGATTTAGAATCTTTTTCTTGAAGCAGGAACTCCTTCTCACTGGAACTCCTTCTCACTGCGCCCGCGCCGATCAGGTTCTTCAACGTTGTACTCATGGGGCGCTCCTGCGCGTCTTCACGTCCAGTGACAAGCTGGACGGGCGCCGTCGCAAAATATTGATCCAACGTGGAGCCGTTCGACGACAAGCTCAGGTGCGCGCAAAGAACGAGTGCGTCGTCTAGATCGTCAAAAATGCTTTCCTCTTTGCCTCCCGCTTCCGTGGCTTTCGGTGGCGATGAGCCAGTTTGGCAGGGGTACTTATTCCAGATCCCTAAGAACTGAGCTTTGACCATTTATTGTTGTGATAGCACACTGCTCTCAACTTGATTTTTGGGCGATCATGCCAAAGTAAAGCATCCGAACGTCATTTAACCCGCCGTTCGTCTTTTGGTGTCCGTGCTTTTGTCCTAAATCTTTCACAGAGGCCTTGAAGTGTTTCCACTGATGCTCGGAGAGTGGGAAACATTCCGAGCAGTTGATCTTCACCCCTCTGGCACGTGAAACTTAAACAAAAAATGAGAAATAGAAAGCGCGCCCTTCGCAGGTGGCCCCGTCCTTTCACCACTCTGTCCTTCAAGGTGTGGAAGTCACCACCAGATTGTGCGCCTCATCTTCTGCATCCGCCGTCACGTCAGCAGCCACGTCACCTAGCAGCCACGTCACCTGACACGCCAGCGACTGGTGAGGTGTTGATGTTAAACGACTTCTTCCTGTCGCTGGCCACTCAAAACGTGGACATCTTCCGGCTGGAGCGCGCAAGAGGGGGCACTGCCGTGCACAAGGTGGGCGCGCTTTTGTGTTACGCCGCGCAAGCGGTCGGTTACGTCATATTTGTGTCCCGGCGCCATATTTTCTGTTTCGGCAGGGGCCCGCAGGACCACGACGGGCAGTCCTCTGCAAACCGGATTACACAACCCATCTCGCGACCTCTCGCCTTTCCCTTCTCTTCTTATTTGAACTTGCTATGTTGTCAAAGCCCCCTTGGGAGGATGCCCACGATGCACAGGTGAAGAAGGGTGCCGTTTCAAACGTGACTACAAAAGCGAGATGTGTACACGGTGTGTTTCCCGAACTGCCAGGTGGACATCTCTCATGCAGTCGAGCGGCGGGTGGGCAGCTTGCAACACCGGCCACAGCAGGATCAGAACCATTCTAAGCCTCACGTACTTTGGAAAGACATGAATGGCCTGCTTCCTGCAGATTGGGACTATGGCAAGCGATGGCTGCAGCAGGACCCATCAGAATCACGGAGATACGGAGAAAGTGAGCACCAGTTTTGTCGTTTCTTGTTTCCGGGCTCAAATTAATGGGTGAAATTAACAATATATAGCAACAGAAGACCGCATTGCTATTCAACAAAAAGATGCAACAGTGTCAACAACATCAGAGCGCACGAAGAGCTATTGTGACGAGAGGAGAGAGTCCTTCCATCTCTGTCTCCTCATTTGCCGTTTTCCAAACCTCAAAGACGTCTTGATCTTATCCTGAGCTTGGCACTTTCATGATGCACGGTCAGCCGTTGGGGCCTAAGGCTGTCGCACTTGCACGATTCGTTCTTAAAATGTGCTGCCGCTACTCGCCTGTTAGGGAGCGATTGAAGCAAGTGTTGTTTGTACTCCTTGCGCTCGTCTCATCGTGCTTTAAAGCTTTCAACTGCTGTCCTTCTGCGAACATAGAGTCCGAGTCCCAAGATCTTCTTTTCCCAGTCGGATGCCTTTTCGAGCGAGCTCTCTTTTTACGTGCTTCCATGTGTATGGCAAGGCAATGCGGACGTCATAAACCTTTAACCCCTCGCAGTCGCGACCCACACCGCCATTAACTCCTTCCAGGCGGTTGCGCCCTTTTACCGCTGCAATCACGAGCAACGACCACGACGGCCGCCGTCAGTGTGACGTCAGCAAGACCGGGCGGCCGGCCGCACGAGAGAACGCTCAAGTTCGACATGCACAACGCCGCTAAGGACCTCGTAAGCCGTCCTCCTTGACGAAGCTCTGACTTCCTCTTCGCATGTCCCGTTGATTTCGCTTCTATCTCGCAAGCACGTTCCATATACTAGGATCTGATCGCTTCCTGTTTTGTGTAATTCAGTCTTGGCAGTGGAAGGCAGGGTGTGGAATCCGAAAAGCCCGACTGGACCTCGTTTTTCCCCCAACCCCCTTGACAAGCAACAGTGGAAACTCAGCAGTAGAAACCCACTCTCGTCAAACCTAGCAAGCACTTTAAAAGGTTTCCGCTTTTCCGAGGCAGGGGACCTGGGCTCTGTGGCTTTTGTCGAATGCTGCCTCGACGCATTCCTCTCTTTGGGCCCTACAGAAGGCTTCTTCTAACAGCGTCGCTCGCAATTTCTCCCAATGGGCTTTGGAAGTTCTTTGCCTCTTCAAGACCTTGCAGCCCTTCACAAAACCCCGAGGGACCCGCATACAACATTGACATTCTAGACCTTCCACTCCTGACAATCGCAACACGCAGACTACTACGACAAGATCCTAAATCTTCCAGATTGACCTGCAGATGGTTGAGGACGCGCGCGCGCTCGTCCTGACGGACAGTACCCTCCAGCCGATGTCCTGCGCGAGCGGCTCTTCCCGGTGGTCGCAGACGTCCGGCTGCGCTTCTTCTGAAGCTGACACATCGTACCCGGGAGTGGGTCCTGCCCGCGGCGCTGCGCTAGGGGCCCACCTGGCGGCTGTTCGACCTCCGGTTCGGGTACCGAGGTGCGCCGGCCAGGTGAGAAATGGTCTCGCCTTTTTGTCTGGACATGTCGCCTTTGAGCGCACGATCGGACGACATTATTCAGGTCGAACACTCGACGTGTCTCAACACAGATTCGGAGCGACATGAAACAGTCACGGAAACTGGCAGTCAGTCGCCGACCAATCACAGCTTGCCACGTCAGCACTCAAAGGTAGATGGAGCAGCTTTTTCCACCGCCAAAAGAACGGCCCTTCGAGTGGGCGCCACGTCAGCATGTTTTGAACAAGTCTTCTCCTTCTTCCGTAACCCCAAGAGACTTCAAAGCATCCCACGTTGCTCGAGCTTTTCTCCCACCTCTATTTACAGTAGAAGCCGCACTTTTCTCACACACGCGTCTAAGCAACTCGGCCTTTTGGAAGTAAGGCAGCAATCTGGGATTCAGTCGCGGACGGACTGCTCTTGAATTCATGTTTTGCATCGATGAACTTAACCGACTCTGGCTTTCTCTTGTCTATTCTGCAGTACTCGCAAAGGTCGGTGCACTAGTACTGGTCAGCGGGAGGTTGGATCCACAGAGCGTGCGACCTCCACGGGGCAGCGAAAGCTCGGCCGGGAACAGAACACTAAGGTGAGGATGCTCCCGATCCGTATTGGATGATGGAGGAGCGAACGTGAATAACATCAGACGACTGGAAATCTCGCACTTCGTCTCCACATATCTCCACTTTTACAACTTTCATCAGGGTCCGGAGCTGAAGCTTGAGAGATGTTCGGAGAAGGGAAACGTCAGAAACAAACGTCAGCGTTTGGTCATCCGATTGCATTCTCCGTTTTAATTCTGCATAACACGCACGGGCGAAGAAGCAACGAGTGCACGTTCGGAAGCCGTCTCGAACCTCACTGGTACCCCGCCGTAAGTCTTGCTGCGAATGCTTGGGCGCTTCCTCTGCGATCAGAACGGCTCGGGTAGAATCTAACGTGTGTTCCTTCTTGTTTCTTTTGGCAGGTTGTACTTATACAAAACGCGTCAGCGGCCTCGGGCTAAAGTAGGACAGTAGGGATAAAATAGGAGCGTTGGTGGAGCGAGACGCTACTGGTAGTTGTCTACAAACAGACTTCTGTACTGGGCACTTGTGTTGTATCTTGGAAGCAGCTCCTCTTCAAGGCTTCAGAAGTTCAATGCCTGAGCGTTCAGCATTTTCATGTTGCGATCCTGATCGTTGTCATGCGTGAATTCCGTCTTCCTGGTTGGACAACGCATGAAGTCCTTTTCTCGCACCTGCTAAAACGGTTTCCGCACTTCCTGGCAGTCTATCTTACCAAGGTTGAAGCGCTGACTGGCAAGGCTTTTTGGAGACACGATTTTCATATTCTGCGCTTCGTCTGGTTCCAGGAAGGCTGCAGCTTGTATTGGTATTGCTGGACTTGCCTGGTTCGAGTGCTTCTTGAGCAATTCCCTGACTTTCTTGAGCTTGACTCCCGTTTCTTGGTAAGAAACATACAACCTGGTGACGGTGCATACTGCCCGGTTGATCTGGCGAGATATTTTTAACGATCGTACACGTTTCCCTGTTGACCTAGACCAGTTCGTAACCAGGCGTCAACCACGCGCTACCCGTTCTCTGGTTGACCGTCAACCGGGCCTGCCCTTGTCGGCGGTCAACCGTGCTCTGGTCGAGGATTCCGTCAACCAGACATGCCCCGGTTGACGATCAACCGGTCGTGGTTGAC